AGCACAATTGATCACACACCTAACCAAATTAGGCTTTGCGATCAATTGAAAAAAGAGCACCCCCATACCTCACCAACAGGCGTTGTAGTTGGGAGTGGTGCTCGATGCAGGCGTGCTACGTGCCACACTGTCAGAGAGCAGAAGTGCGTCCCTACTCTGGGCGGTTCACAGGCTGTGACAGGGGGCGACAGTGACAGCTTTAACTGTCATGCAGACTTTGAGTCTCATGGTGGCTGCTCACATTGTGGTCCCGCTGGGGTTACTGCATATGCGCCGCCTGCAGAGGTGGTTCTCCAGCCTGCGTTTGGATCCCAAGAGGCACAAACGGCGGCTGGTGACCACCCCCCCCCCCCTCAGTGGAGGGCAACCTACGGTTTTGGGGGTCCCCGGATCACCTCCGGAGGGGGTCTCCACTGGGACGGATGACCTCCTACATCACAGTGTTCACAGACGCATCCAGAACAGGATGGGGAGGGACCTGCCTGAAGAGGGCTATAGGTGGGCGCTGGGCTCTAACAGAGTTTCTTGTGGCTTCATCGTGGCTTATATCAACAGGCAGGGCGGAGTCCGCTCCGCCGCCTTGTTGACCACAGCGGAGAGGCTGTGGTTATGGGCTTCAGAGGCGGTGTTAGCCCTGAGAGCCCTCCATATCCCGGGACTGGAGAACAGGGGGACCGACCTCATGTCGAGGGGCGGCCCCCTGCCAGGCGAATGGACGCTTCACCCGGAGGTGGTGAAGCAGATCTGGGCCCAGTTCGGGAGAGCGGAAGTGGATCTGTTCGCCAGCCGGCGCAACAACCACTGTGCCCTGTGGTTCTCCATGGCCCTGGGCGACGACCCGCCCTTGGGGGTGGACGTGTTTGCACACGAGCCATGGCCAAGGAAGCTGCTATATACGCCTTTCCACTGCTGCGTCTCATTCTCCCTCTCCTGGGGAGAGTGAGGCGAGAACGTCTGTCAGTCATCCTAGTGGCTCGGGACCGCGTCGGTGCGCCGTGGTACTCAGAGATGACACAGATGAAGGTGGGCCAGCCCTGGGCGGTTCCCCAGTTCTGGGGGGCGATGTCTCAAGAGGCAGGTGCAATCGGGGCGTTACCCACTCTCGGCCAACCTCTCCAGGTTTGGCTCCTGAGAGGGACAGGCTGAGACAGGGTGGATTGTCTGACAGTGTTATTCAGTCTATCCAGGCAGCTAGAGCTGGATCCACCACAGCCTGTTACAGGCCGAGGTGGCTAGGATTCCAGCGATGGTGTGAGGAGAGGAGAATAGAGCCCCATATCTTGTGAGTTAGGCTCTATACTTTTCCTTCTTACAGTTACTGGTGGATAGAGGGCTTGCGCATTACACAGTGAAAGTGTATGCAGCAGCCATCTCGTCCTGCCATGAGGGATTTGGCGGCAGGTCAGCCTTTAGTCAACCACTGATGTCGCGGTTTTTACAGGGGGTCAGGAGGCTGCGCCCAGTAGTGCACGCCTCCACCCCGCAGTGAGACCTGCCCCTAATGCTCGGAGCTCTGGTCTTGGAACCATTTGAGCCTCTGGAGCTCTCCTCCCTAAAAGCACTGTCGTGGAAGACAGCTTTGCTTCTTGCCTTAACGTCAGCCAAAAAAAGTGTCCGAGTTAACCGCTCTGTCGTTGCACCTGAGCTGTTTACTGATTCGGGGTGACCGGAGCGGCGCGACACTCAGACCGAACCCCTCCTTTGTGCCCAAGAGCCTAAGGAGTGCGTGCAGGTCGAAGGCTATTCAGTTAGGGGGTTTTAGTCTTCCCCCCCATGGTGGGGACAGGGAAGCTAAACTGCACCTCCTCTGCCCGGTGCGTGCGCTAGCATGTTATGTGGAGCGCACGGCTGCCCTTAGTCCAGGGATGGGCACATGGCGGCCCGCGGGCCGCATGCGGCCCCCACCTCCTCTTTGTGCGGCCCTCAGATTCATTTATAAACAACGTAATTAATTAAAAAAATAAAATAAAATGTTTTTACTTGTAGTACTGATACCGCCCACTAGACTCCTAGTTACGTCGCGAGCTGCGTACATGATTTCAAATACCGCGAAATAATCTGTGACGTATTTGTGCGTATTTTGTTTGTTTCCCGGGGAAACCCTCACAAGAAACACTGGCTGTTGTTATGCCTGCTGTGACGTTAAGTTGCCTCTTGTAATTATGCCTTTACAAGGTTGTATTTATCATCTGAATTTGGCGAAACAAGTTTAGTTTTCTTAAAACCAAGACTTTGTTTATTTGAAATCAGATGAAAACAAACTGTCACGGACCCTGCCGTGTTATCTATAATTACTACGCTTTTCATTCATAATTTCAGCGGGAGGGAGGGGGAGCTCCGCTGAGGTACAGCAGAGTGCGGGCTGACGGGTGTCTGTGTTGACATTCCCCTTTTGTGGATTAAGGGGAATGCAAAGACTGGCTACAAGTGTTTTAGGTTCAAGTTAGACAACTAATGTCTGGGTTAGTGTTCTTGACTTCATGTTTATGTCATCTTAATTGTTAATCTCAATACACACACATTTTCCGTGCTTTCCAATAGTTTAAAAATACTTTTATTCCACTGTTTAATAACCTGTTCAATACAAACATGCCACTTGTAAAAATGAAATAAAATGTCTGTGAACTGATATTTGTTTAGTGAGCTTATTAGAGGATGTTCCCATTTTTTGGGGATGTTCCCTTTGATTGTAAAATGTCAATGAAGATGTCAGACTTAGTATATTTGTTAATAATTACATACAACACATGGAATTTTTGTGTGTGTGTTCCAAGTGAATCTGCGGCCCCCTGGTGGCCAGTACATCAATTATGTGGCCCCCACCACCATCAAAGTTGCCCATCCCTGCCTTAGACGGACCAAACAGCTGTTCGTGTGCTTCGGGGGCGGGGTGATCGGGAAAGCTCTGTCCAAGAAACGCCTGGCAGGCTGGCTCTGCGAGTGCATTGCACATGCCTACGGACAGGCAGGGAGAGCCTGCCCCACGGGGATTCGTGCGCACTCCACACGGGCTGTAGCTGTGTCAACAGCCTTATTCAACGGTGTGAGTGTGGAGGATATATGCACAGCGGCGTCTTGGTCGACGCCAGGCCCCTTCATAAGGTTTTATCTCTCGGACATGTCTGGCTCTTTCTCCTCGTCTGTGCTTGCTGGGGCAACACAGGATTTTTAGGGGGGGGGGGGTTGTGGGTCAGTTGGCATCTGACCCCCTCCCCGGACGTGATGCGTCGTCGCCTTTCCCGGACTGGGCGAGGGGCACGCTGGGCCCTTACAGGGCTGGAGGAGAGCAGCCCTCCACACTTTAGTCCACACACACTCTGCACGGGGTCGGTGTCTGAGTGTGGGGCATGGGCACTGGCGCTCTCCCTGCGATCCTTAGGGATTCAGGGAGGCAGGCGTGAAGTAAGCCCATTCGGGGCCGAGGGGGCTCTCCGCATCCGTCTATGGGTGGGGGGGGGGGGTTTCCCCCGGCACTGTTTTTTGAGCACACTTTCTGCGAGGTAATAGCAGCAGGGTGTGCTCTGTCAGCCACAGCCCAGATTTCTCCTCGGTCACAACCGAGTTAACACTAGAACCGCCAACGGGTACATTTTACCCGTAGCAGTTTTTTGATTGTATGTAACTTTTTTTCAATAACATATTAAAGTCTCCCAGTCCGTGACTTTTCCTGAAAGTGTGTTATGTAGCACCCTCTGTTGTTAACAATTGTCAATATGAAGTCAGATTGAAAAAAATCGCCCAAAAAAGCCATTTATACCTATATCCGCCAGCGGGTAATATTTACCTCATAGAAAATGCAGCGTAAACATGACGTGTTGCTATAGCAACATATTTTGTCTACTGCGGTTCCTTATAGATAGAGAGATAGATTGAGAGAGAGATAGATTGATAGATATATTGATAGATGGATAGAGAGATAGACAGACAGATAGATAGTTATAGATAGTGTAACATCTTGGAGAATACAAGATCTTGGATGGCTGAGCTCACGTTGAGGACGTAATGCATGCAGGTTACATGCCAGTTGAATAAAGATGGACACTCGGAATGAGAGAAGTAGTCCGCGTCGTCTGTTTATGTAGACAATTATATGTCCATAGAACAGAACATTACAGATGGATAGATAGAGAGATTTGTACCTAAACAAAACACAAGTCTAACACCAAGCGTTTAAATCAGCACTCTTAGCGATATTTTATACTTCATGTTATCTGCACAAACTATGTCATATGAAAAGCTGAGAGTCCACAGATTCTATTGGTATAAATGTCATCCCTGTGCGATCAAAACTCACTGTTCTGTATGATAAATAAAAGAACATTGTACCTTGAAAATCAATAGCAGGTACATTTTACCCGTTGGCGGTTTTAGGTATACAGCGACCTCTGGCGGTTCTAGTGTTAAAGGAGAATGTGGGGCAGCAGCTGCTGACCAGAAAAGCCGGTCAGGGGCAGTAGGGTGGAATGTTGTTGTTGGACGACAGTGCGCGTATAAATCGGGGCTCCACCCACTGTACCCATAGAGTCCAGTAGAGGGCGGAGCCTGTGAGAGATATAACGTTGGGTTACGTATTGTAACCCTTGTTATATTAGCACAGGCGGAGCCCTCTACTCAGGGCACTGTCTGTCCTATTCCGCTCGCTGAAGAGAGGTGTAGGATGATAGTCAGGAGGCGAGGCCTCCTTTTATACGGTGTGATGCGTGCGCATTCAGGTAGGCCCGCCCATGGCCGGCTACGTCTATAGAAGTCTCAGTGGGAGAATGCTCGCAGGGTAAGGTAGTACCCATAGAGTCCAATAGAGGGCTCCGCCTGTGCTAATATAACAAGGGTTACAATACATAACCCAACGTTACATTTTATTCCCAAGCATGAGCTAACAACAGAGACAAGAAATTGACGCAAAATGACACGTGTAATTTCCACTGTGAAATGCCTCTATGCCTGAATTCTATATATGGAAGCTACCATGTGCTTATGTTAGCTAGCATTGGATAACGTACATCTTTACTCTGCATCTTCTGGACCAGGGAGGAGTCCGGTGTCCCTGTCAGCCGGAGGATCTTCTTCAGCTGATCAATACCTGAACAGGCTGCTTCAGGAAGAATGTACAACATAAAATGCATTTCTGCAAGTCTTTCAATCAGCAAACGTGATATAGTGAACTGAATTACAAAATAAAGAAGCAGCTATATTTTATAATATTTGATTGGGTATTATTTGTGTATACTTTTCATGCAGTTAGGATTGATAGGCTCATTTTTAATAAGATATATCATTAAAGGGGTGCTTCAGTGACTTAGTTCTGCACTTTAACAAAGTTGGGTGGAAAATAGTCAGAATTTAAGCCGCATAGGCTTAAGTTTTCCTGATTTTTACTCAATAGTATGGGACGAGCTCCAAGAGCAGTGCCTTTGCATAGATCAACCAAAAGCCTTGTTTTATTTGAACCTGTGTTATATCCTTGTTTTTGAAACTTCACACCTCCAGATTGTGATGAAGCAAAGTAACTTTGCCTGAGGTGAGATATCCCTGTTGCTAAAATCAGCAAATGCTCCTTTAAATTAGGAAACTGCTTAAACGCAGCAGAAATAGTTATAGTCACATGCTGGCCCTGTGTCTATGCTTCTCTGTGATTGCCGCTCTGATCAGGGTCACCTGTCCCTAATCACCCTATGTGTATTTAGTCTGTGCTGCCTCCTTTGTCTCTGCCAGTTGTTATGTCTGTTCACTGTTAGCGGCACAAGTGTTCCAGTGGTATTTTCTGGTGTTTTCTATGAGTTTGCCACTTAATAGCCAAGTGTTTCTGTTGTTACTTTCTTCTGTCTCCTTTTTTGATAGTTAACAGAAAACATTTTTTTCTTTATTTAGGTAGAGCTTATTTAACCCTCTTTTGTCTGTGGTTGCACATTTGAGTCCATTCCCACCTGGTGCCAGAGTGATACTGTAATAACAGTACTTGTTACAATAAACCGAAGTGTGTACATTATATGGAACACTCCAAAATCTCACAATGCTGCATCGGTTTATTGAAGTGTTTGAGGGCTATTGCAGGCTGGAGAGGGAGGGAACATTCATAGTAAAAATACACTTGTTTCTGGATTAAAGTTATGAAATTATGATTTTAAAAAAGTGGATATTCTCAGAGATCAAAGTGCTAAACATCAAAAGTTATCGGAGATTAGAATAGCCATAAATTAGCTTAACAATTCCCCAACAAGTCTTCTTTGTACATTTTTGAGTTTCTTGTCAAAATATTTCTCCAGCTCCTACAGTGTATATATATATATATATATATATATATATATATATATATATTGGCCACCACATGCTGTCTTCAGTTGTTCAAAATATTCTATTAAAAATTCCAGTTGCATCGTGGGTTTCTGACTGCTATTACTGAACATACACAGCCTTATTGCAACACAGTGATCTGAGTGTGTGAGGATACTGTCGTGTCCGGGGAAAAGCACCTGGCCAGTGATCATCTCCGCCAGGATACAGGCGGCCGACCACACGTCCACTGTGGGAGAGAGCATTTCAATAATGAAAATGTAATCATTTGCCTTAGCGTACTGCAATATTCAGTTCTATTTTTTTACAAACTGAAAGGTAATGTTGTTACCTGTTTGACTGTAGTGCATCCAGTTGAATATGACCTCTGGTGCTCTGTACCAGCGCGTCACTACATAACCAGTCATTTCACTCTCTGCCTGTCTTGCAAGTCCAAAGTCCAGGATCTGAGGATAGTGACACTTGGATTAACCATTGAATCTATTTCCTCTTCACTTTTTCGCAAGTACAAAAATTAAAGTTACAAATCCTGAAGATCCGATTTAAGGCCGCAACTCATCATCATCTTACATTCTGATATGCAACTTTTTTTTGCTTACCTTTAATTCACAGTTCTCATTCACAGCAAGGTTACCAGGCTTCAGATCCTAAAATCCAACACATGAGACTTCTTATTTGCATAAAGTCTATTGTGAAATAGTAAACACACTTTGTAATAGGTCAAAATATACTCAATTGCTGTTTTCATTCTGAGCATTTGATAAAAAAGACTGATACCAATCTTCTGTATGATAGTTATCAAGCAACAGTCTGCCTAGCTTAGCTTTTAAAGTAAAAAGAAGGGGAAATTGTTTATTCCCTGTGTTAAAGGAACCTATAAAACAAACCATATATGTAATCCATTGCACTACGCCTGAATAAGGCTACATTGAGTAAGTAGTGGGTCATTCTGGGAAATATCTTTGAATATGAATCTTAATTTATCCATCTAATATATTTTGTAAAGGAACACACACAATTCAGACCTAGAACTGGACCAACACAAAAACCAGAACTTTGACATTTAAATGTATGAACTATTTCATTAGATGTATAACTTAATTAAACACTAATGTTGTAATGAGTGGGACACAATCTCTACAATAAGTGTTGTATACAAAAAAAGAATAAAAACCAACCCGGTGGACGATGCCTGCAGAATGAATATACTGTAAAGAAAGAGAACACAGATGTTAGAATAAACAACACAAATGGACATTCTTCACTCTGACAAAGTGTAGCAAAGCAAGCAGGCTCGCTAAATGCCATGGTATTGACTTGTGGATTTAAAAATACACAGTCTCCATCCGCAGCCCACTGTGACGGCTCTGTTTTGTGTACTTTACAGCCCTTGGAGTAAATCCAGGCTCTAACAGCACACTTAAAGCACACAGATAAGAAAGGGAAACAATCTCAGAACGAGAGACGTCTGCAGCTTAATTCAAAGACAAAGAGGCATTTGGGAGAAGTTAGTCTTGGTTTCCAGTTCAAAGCGTGCTTTCCTTTTCTTTTCCATCGAGCACTCTTGGTTACACATTGACAAGTGGTGAGTGGAGAAGCATAAATAAGGGTGAAGCAGTAAAGTGAAAACATTGTACTTAAAATGCCAGCAAGACATGCGACCTTCATTTATCCAAACTCATATTTGCCCTATAAATCTACTCCAACATGGCATAATGATTATGGGAAGTTCTGTAGTGACTTTTTATTATACTTTACTTATATACTCCCCCTCCCGTAATGAACATTAGTATAAAGAAAACATTTTCACACCGTATTTGGGGAGTAGTGAGCATAAGACTGAACACAAATTAGGCTAGGATTTTAATGCACATGTACATTACACTGATTTCCCCTGCATAACACGCTGTGAATTACATTGACATAATACATACAGCATATTTACAAATCAAGCTGGTGCTGAGCAACATTGCATTATATACGAGTTTGCCCACGTATAGTTTGTGGAAAGCCAATATTAACTCTTCTTTTATCTCTGCTTTGGTCTCCACCAACTCTTGAGGGAAATAGCTACATCTATAGCTGCTAAATGCTCCACTATGTTCCTACGCTAGTTTGTTACTGGTTCTGGTCGCTGATTGGTGCTGAGCAGGGAGTGTATGGTGCGTTTTCAGAGGTTTCTGTTGAAAATATCTGCCTGCGAAGACCTTGAAACAGTGAGGTTGTGAGGTTGTAAAATGAAAAAGATGATCGGAAAGACGCAAAAATGCTCTCTAGAGCTGGGGAAGTGTGGAGCGTGTTATTCACTGTGAATTAATCATTTCAGATGACACACATGATCCACTGTTAATACAAAACGTTGGATTAGCGCAGGACCAAGTAATATTATCTAATTTAATTTTTTGACCTTTTTGTACATATTTGTAAATTGCTTAATCGTGTCCTACATCCACTGATATTGCACTTCGCTTCATTTATTAAAAGGAGTGAATGCCTTATTTACAAAAAGTTCCAGTTTTTTTAATTCAAAGTTTCTCAACACGTGGAGGAGAAGGGGTCTAGTAGTGTCACCAAGGGTTAGCATTTCTGCTTTCTGAAGCTGCCGCTGACCTCGTGTTGACCTCCAGCACACACTGGGCTGGTTTGCAGTGACATGTGAAGTTTGAGACCCTGCTCTGACCTAAAACTAAGAATTGTTGTGATTTCATTAGTTTCAAATTCATTTCAACTTCATTTCTACATTGAGAGCAGGTCATTTCCAAGGGTTCTGCCATAGTTCACTGCTATGTTTCTACAGTAGCCCAGAAGAGACACAACAAATATAATATAAATCACTGATCCTGTATTTCCACTGTATTTTTTTATACATATTTGTCTCACTTTTATGTGATTAACAGGAAAAATTAGCCTGTCAAGTACATTTAAGAAGGCAACAACAACATTAATAAACAAAACATATCACTTTTAACAAAATCTCCAAAGAAATGCAAATACTTTATTTCTAAACATTTAAAGGTAGGGTATGTCATTTATTTCAGATACACTTTTTGTTATATTCCATAGAATGCTCTTAACGTCCCGATAGCAATGAATACATTAAATGCTTTGACAATAAATACATAAAGAAATATCATCTGTGGAAGCAGTGGTGCTGTAAAAAGCACGACCAATCATCTAAGCCGGCCCGGCTAAAATAACTGGATGGCCTACCTGCCTGTCAGCCTTCCATCTGTGCACAAACTTATCTCGTGCCCTCATTGGTCATGTGCGCGTTTGTGTGTGTTGGAGGAGGGGCTCTGTAAGGAACTCTGAAGGAAGGGGCAGATTTTTTTGGCTGCGTACTTTCAAATTCTAGAGCACTCAAGCTGGTTTCTCCAAAATTACATACCCCACCTTTAAGAATACCGCTTGGAAAAATGGTTAAGCATGTTAAGAAAATGACTTATTCTTAAGATAGCCCCATATGACATTATTTAAAGCGATTCTTAATGTTGAAAAAAATGGGCCTGTTGAGAATGCGTGTACGTCATTGACCCATATGTGTAACAATCAAGTGAGAAAAGTAATAATCACTTACCTTGAGTCCTCTGAGCAGCTGGTAGAACAGGTATGTGATGATGCGATCAGTTAATCTCCGCTTCTTCATTATGTGGCCCAGATCCTGGGCTACTAACGGCATGACCATATAACTACAGAGAGAAGAAGAAAAGTTAAAGGTCCTTACACACCAAACTGACACCAAAGAACACCAAAGAACACGTCCCGACGGAACGTCACCTCACGTCTCCTGCGTCTTGGCCATGTTTCGCACTGGAATACACCACAAAGACTTCAGCCAACGGCCAAGTTGCACGTACGAACTGCGCATGCGGTAGTGTGTATTCATCATTCAAAAGACGCAACAACCGGAACACAGACTGCGTGATACACCGAGAGAAGAAGAACAGACTGCGTGATATAAACAAACAACAAATAGCGTGTGCGTTCCATTTTCACTCTACAGCGAGAAGCTCACGGGGCTTTCCCGAACCTGTGTCGAGAGCTGGAGTTAAATGAAATCTCACATTTGCCTTCTTATTAGTTTGTTTGTGTCCCTCACTTCCGTTTCGCTTCTCATGCACTGATTCGCTAGCTGAACAGCCAATCAGAGTGATTTCTTTGGCTGACGGCCTTTAGCCAACAGCCTCCCGATTCAACATGTTGAATCGGCGGCGGAAGGTGTCGGCAAGGCTGAAAAGACACAACGGTGCGGGACACACCAAGACACACCAATCTGAGTAGGGCGACACGACGCTCATCGACGGCCAGACATCTATCGACATCTATCGACATCTATCGACATCTATCGACATCTATCGACATCTATCGACATCTATCGACGGCCGAAATCGGCTTACACACCAAGCCGATTTCGGCCGTCGATAGATGTCGGGCCGTCGATGAGCGTCGTGTCGGGACTTAAGAGAAACGGAAGGCATAGAAAGATAAAATCAACAAATATAGGTACAAGAGGGCAGCTGTCTTACACAGACGCAGTTCAATTATAATTTCTGAATAATTGTTTTAAAACAAATTGAAGCGATGTTAAGCATTCTTTTGAACAGACAAAATCCTTTCCCTTATTATAATTGGTGAATGTGTCACTGATACAGATCTGACGGAATTCAACAAAGCATGACTGACAGTTAACTGACTCAGTCAGTCATGCATGTCTGTTACACTAGTTATGTAAGAGCACTCTCACACATATCGTGATGCTTTATTTTTTAGCTACTTTTAAATCTTCAATTGAAGTGTAGGAGCCATGAAACGTGTATAGTAAGGCGTTTTGTTTTAATATAAGATATTTGTTTGATCACTATTGATTGGTTGGCTTGGGTCAAATGGATATGGGCGGCACTCATTATAATCCTGTTCACCTGAGTGAGGTGTGTGTGTGTGGAAGAGAGGGTGACACAGGGCCGTTGTACTTTTTGTTGACCGCAAAATGTATGATTGCTTTGATCATTATTATTACAATGTCTATGTCTGATCACTGCGCTTTTTTCAATTACAATTCAACAGAGTTTGGATCTCAGCAAGTACTCTTTTTTAACGTGTCATACAATAACAAACAGGCCCGGCCTCAGCCTCTCAGCGACTTTGTTTGTTTCCTGCTGTCGCTATATGAAGCATAGGATCACATTTTTAACAAGCTTTGACGGAACCAATGGATTTAAAAAACTTCTAATGGCTTCTTGTGGTGTCATTTTTATGACTCTTGACACACTTCTCTCACAATGTTGTCAATTATTTCAAACCGTGATCATTTCTCATCTGAGGTTATACCAAGCAGTTTTGTCTCATGTTCTTGCGATCATTGGAGGGAGGGGGGGGGGGGGTTCAATTCAACGTGACTGAGCTTGGACCCCTCCTGTGGTCCCCCTCCAAAAGAATACATCTATGACAATAAATGCTATTTATTTATTTTATGAAAGTGTTGCAGCAAACACTGTGCTGTAACCTTGTCATGATCTGTCTGTGTTTTGTTTTGTCTTGTCTTTTTCTGTCTTTGGTTTCCTGTTTTATTTTGTAAAGTGTTCACCCCCTGTCTTGCCTGTTGCTTTCTGTCTGTGTTCCCTCCCTGATTACCCGATTGTGTTCACCTTCACCTGTGTTTTCTCCTCCCTCCTCACCTGTCTCTTGTTTCTTTGATTAGTCTTGTGTGTATTTCAGTTCTGGTTTTTCTGTCTGTCTTTGTTAGTTCCTTGTTTGTCTTGACTGTGTTCACGGGGAAGAGTTCTGTTTGTTTTCTAGTTTACCTTGAAATAAAGGAAGATTCTGTGAAATCTGCATTTGGGTCCTGTCTGCTTCGCTCTACCCTGACAAACCTGGGTCAAAGTCAACAGGGATGTTTTTTTTTTCTCAGTAATGTAGTTTAATACATTGAAACTAAATTACTGAAACAAGTTTGGTGACAAAAACAAATACCAACAAACAGAAGGAAATTAAAAAAATAAAGTTGGCTGTATAAATAATTACTACCCCAAACTGCTTTAATGTTTTGTATCTTGGGCCTAAGTAACTACATAAAGGTAATTACATTAAAATTGTAACTAAGTCATTGACACAAACTCAGTTAGTAAATCAAACACCAATAATGGTATTTTATGTTGTTTTTATGCACTACGACTTTATACTGAACTAAAAAAGTTATGAACACTGTCTTTGTCCCGCATATAATGGGCCCCTCTTATTATACAACTGGCCCCATCACGGCCCCCCCAAGTAAAATGAGTCTAGAACCACCACTGCTCATTGCTATGGAGAGGAAATACAGCCGCACAAACCAACCACAGCAAACATGAACAAGCTTGCTCTCACACATCCTCACTTGAACTCTTCACACTTGCACCCACTTGCACACAGGGTCTCGACAAGCTGCGACAACGAGCAAAAGTATGCAGTTCCTGAATCCAGACTCACAAGGTTTGGAACTTTTCTGGTGTGGAGTCGGGTGTGAAGACGTTGAGGAGGCAGATCACCTTTAAGAGAAAAACAGTTAGGACGTTAATATACACGTCCAGTGATACACATGTAGGAAACGCTTACACACTTTTGCGAAGAGGTCAATGCAATGAAGTGTTTTCATAATGGTTTAAGTGTCATGTTTACAGCACTGACATTGCTGTGGCTCCTTCAACTCTCTTTCTAAGTATCACAGTCTTTTCCATCCAATGTCACATCATTTTCTATGTAAGATGTATGGGCCAATTTGTAAATGGCAGTCCTTCTATTGATTTTAAATCCAACACAGAAACTAACAACACAGGATACAAAATGCATTGAAAGTCTTATGTTAACTTGTCTTTCTATGACAAAGTAAACACAACTTTTACTAGAAGGGGACTCTGAAAGGGGGATATTTTGCCATTTCCAAATGTGTCCAAATACATGGGTTCCCCCTTGGTACACCAATCGCGCCAGTCGTTTTTCCACAACCCTGCTCACAAACAGATAAAGAAACCAAAACCAATAGCATATCCTCTTTGGCCGAGGTAAAACTCATGAACTCTTATACTATAAAGGCACTAGGATGAAGGCACTAGGATGAAGGCAGAACTGATGGTGGTATGATAGAGCAGAAATAATGGTCTTTCCCCATTAATTGAGTTCCATACAGATGTGTAATGGGTTCCTTCTTAGCCAATTTTGTAAATATACCAAGTTCCGAAAAAATCTGGCAAGTAGTTTGTTCTTGATCCTGTTGACAAACATATAAAGAAATCAAATCAATTACATAACCTCTTTGGTGGTGGTAAAAGAGTTGAAACTCATTTAATTTATTGACTTCCAAAAACCTGCCGAGTAAATGGAGGTTAAGTAAGGTTTTCAGCAAAAACACTGAATCATGAGGGTTCCAATGAAACACAACACTACCAGCTGTTCAGGGAGGACTGGTGAGATCTGTATGGGCTCTTCTTGTTGAGTGGTCAAGAAAGTTTGCTTATCCTCAAAATCAACTAATCTCATTAGGGTTGACCTTTCTGAGTGAGTAGAACTAAACAAACACACTTAGATAACAAGTCATGGTATGACAGTGAGTCTCTTGCCATTGGCCGGCTGTTATACCAGATTGTATCCTATATTAATTAAGAGACACTTACAGTAAGACAAAAACCATGCACTGGTCAATGAGAGCGCAAAAAACAAAAAAACATTATCTTAATTTATTTTTACAAACATTGTCTATTTCCATTTGTAGTTTTTTATTAAATACACCAAAAATGTGATTAAATATAACCTTATTTGTATATAAGCAATAATAATAATAATACAAAAAATCTCTTAATGTTCGTTTTTCAACTGGCTCAGTTTTATGGTGAGATCAATCAGTTATTTATTTTTACCCATTATGTGTTTTTTACCTACACTATGATCAGAAACATATACCAAAACATACGCCATTCCTACTTCAATTCTAAATGTTTTTACAGAGGTTGAGATAAGAACAATATTCATTAAAAGTTCATCCAAAAAGAAGATACAGTACAGTATATGCAAATTCCCTTGGTAACAACTTTTGACTCTAATAAGTAAAAAAGTCAATGCAATTTAGAACATTATTATTTAAAGAATGCCTCATTTGCATATTTAATCATAGACTTTTATAAACAAATAAAATAAATTGTCTTAAAGGTCATTCAGGTGATAAGGTGGGGGGGGGGGGGTTACCTTGGTTGGTGATTGGCTAATGGTTACACAAGACAAAAAAATCGTTTTGACATCACAAAGTGGCCAAAATCAGATCAGCTCATTTTCAGACAGGTTTTTATAGAAATGGATCAGGACAAAAAGAGAGAGAATCTTTGTTCCTGAAACTTTCAGAATCTCTTTACACAGAGAGGACATACATGTTTAAAAGACATGAAAAAGTGGATTCTGCATAATAGGTGACCTTTTAACTAATTGACTGGCTGCATGGTGATATTCTTATTCTAAGCCTATTCACATGTAGGTCCTTCTTCAGTTGTTGATGTTACTGTGACCACCCTCTTAAAAAATCCCACATCCCTGTTTTTGTGAAGTTCCTACATTTTCGTGCTGAATGTGTCGCAGCAGCCTGAGCTCCCTGTAGGCTCGCTGGGCGTGGATCAGGGACTGGAACGGTCGGTACAGCTTCTTGATGGCCACCTTCTCCTTGGTCTTCTGGTCAAGGGCAGAACTGATGTGGAATCAAACACAGAGTAAGAATACACAGTGTGAGAAACATAATCTAGGGCTGCATATATCCACTATTGGAATTGTATATTCTTTGATTGATTGCAATTCATCGATTGTTTCGTCTTCAAATGACATAAAACATTGCTGAATGCCCCTCATGGTCTGACAGAATACAAAATGACCTTACCCTACAGTACGTTTGCCCTACGTTTGGAAACATATAAACAGAAAAGGATCAGGAAGTATTTCACATTTTTCTTATTGCTAAATGCAAAGGTCAAACAAATACTCTTACTTAAGTAAAAGTAGAAGTATAAGAGTGTAGGAATACTCTGTTACAAGTAAAATTCCTGCAAACAAAATGTTACTCAAATAAAAGTACAAAAGTATTCTCAGTGTTCTCAAAGCTGGTAAAGGTGCAGCTAGTTTGAATGACTTTGTATACTGCAGGGTAGCTTGAGAATTTACTCCAGGTGGAACTAAAGTCTGATTTAACACTTGATTAGATGTCATCATTCATCCACATCTGTGAAGTAACTAAAGGGATTAAATACATGGAGGGAAAGTTCAGAACTTGGGTAAATGTACTTAGTTACTCTACACCACTGGCTTTGAAGGATAGGAATGATCATTTCAGAATAACAGTGTCATAATGTTAAAGTAATTTTTTTTTTTAAACAGCAAACCATTTTTTCCCTCATTTGAAATAGTCTAATTGTATTGGAACATTGCAGGTACCCTGTAAACGAGGTTGTGTGTTATTTATGTAAGTAATAAACACGTAGATACAATTCGATTTGTGTTGAGAAACAGTTATTTTTGTAATGAGATAAAAACATTATGTTTATTTCCTTAAAAGAGAAAAATATTGTTTTGATTTAACGTGAAGAACTGAAATCAATACAATTACTTCAACAAGAAAAATAGAATTTGTGCCAAGTCTTATACATTTCCATGTACACAATATTTATTGTTTGATGCAGGGTATTTGTTTCCAGACTCAACAAGCAATACAATATACAGTAGATGTTAAACATTCAACTTAACTCATTTTTGTAATTGGTTGAACAACAGTTTAAAACACTAAGAATGATTTGTTATGGGGTTTTTGAAGTTTATATTTATCCTGGAGATGCTATCAGACATGTTATTGGAACTTTTAAAACAATGTTTGTAGTTCTTATAGAAAAATAAACTAAGTACTAAGTAATATCTCCAACTTGAAAATTGGGCCCCATATAATATATTTGGTATATAATTGCCAAACAAGATACTATCAGTAATCACGTCTTGTCTGTCAGTGGCTTATCATTAGATAGTCCTGTGTCTGTGGTATCTTGGATTCCTTCAGGAGATTCCTGTCGTATCGGAGGACCTGCATTGACTTGCTGCCTCGCCTCAGGCGGACAATAGTGCTTCTGTTAGCAGATGTCAAAGAAATGTCTCGGCCTCTTGCAGCTCTGGGATCGGAATGCAGACTTAGGATTTACACGAAGAAAATCACTTGCAATGGCAAACATTTAAATACTGATAGTGGCCAGCAACCAAGCACCTTTCACCATTTACTAATACACTTTAAACCCACTTCTTCAGGCTTTGCTTTTTTCTGTTCAATTCTCCCCCCATGACATCTGCCTAACATTCTTACTGTTTTCTGTTTTACAGTTTTTGTATTTTTCCCAAAAAAATTATTGCATCTAGTGTTTTTGTATATTCTTGCGTAATGAGTACTTACATAAACGCTTAATTAAGTGTATTATTATTATAATAATAATTATTATTATATATGTATTTGTAATGCCTTAGGCATTAATGGGACCTTTAAGAATATACGACATGATAAGCATGTAGTATTATTGGAGTAAAATATACAAATATATATCATATTCTGTCAACAACTGACATTTACTGTGCGGCACCTTCCTCTGCAGTGCAGCCGAGGTGGTGCACCCATCCCGGGGTAAACTCACCACACTGTCCCGTAAGCTCCGGAGCCGATCGACCGCAGCGAGGTGTATTTGTCCGGGACGTCCCACGTGGTTTTCTGGACCTCCAGTCTGTGATAGCCGCTTCTGACGGGGGAGTCCTTCCCTGGAGACTCCATGGTGCTGGTTCCTTTTGACAGCCAGTCGGGATTTAAATCACAAGACGTTTGTACAGATCTGGAGTTTGAACCCCACAGGTGAGCCTTGCAGGAAAGGTAAGAGCAGAACAGGGAAACGCCCCCATTCCTGCACAACAACCTGTCACGTGGTGAGCTGTCATTCCCGACAGTGTGTGTCAAAAACATGTTGAAACACTGAGAATTACAACATTACTAGGAATCAGAAGGCAACCAAAACCAGATTTGTATTATATTGTATTTTTTAACATGACCTTTTATTTTATTTATTACTATTATTTTCTTTCTTTTTCTCTTTCTTTCTTTCTTTCTTTCTTTCTTTCTTTCTTTCTTTCTTTCTTTCTTTCTTTCTTTCTTTCTTTCTTTCTTTCTTTCTTTCTTTCTTCTCTTTCTTTCTTTTTGCATTTTGTAATATTTATTTAGCTTTTTATTTAAACGTTGTATGTGTAGCTCTGTTCCCCTGGTGTCAACTTTGTATGTGTATATAAGTAATAATGTTCATACACTTTATATTTTCTTGAATACAAAAAAAGGGCCTGCTAGGATTTTAGATCCACTATGCGTTAAATATGTGTGTGGGAATTACAGCCTAAAAAAATCAAGCAATATTTAAAATATTATATTTTTTCTCTGATTTTATCAAAACCTTATTTGTAGAAAAGTATTTAATGGTGACTGTTTCTTTTTATCAAAAACTGGGCAGGCATTTAATAATCGTGACCACAAATCAGAGGTGGTAAAAGTACTAAGAATATGACTTATACATTATGTAAAATACACTCACTGTTACTTATTAGTAAAAGTTGTGCATTCAAAACTGTACTGTAGAAGTGAAAAAGTATTAGCATCAACATATTGAGGAATAAAAGTAAAAATGTACTCACTATGCAGAATAGCCCATTTAAGCACCAACTATTTAAAAATTACATATTATAACTATTAATGCTATTAATGTGTTCATCATTTGAATTTTGCATTTGGTAAAGGTGGGGTTTATTGAAATGACTCTACCGCTTGGTATCTTACACTTCAATATTATTAGGCTATGTATCTGTCGATTCATATTTTCTATAAATAACTTATATCTGCAAAGTGAGTTGTAACTAAGTCTGGAAAATAAATGTAGCGTTGTAGAAAGCACAACATCTGCCTTCAAAATGTAGTGGTGTACATTTATATAGTAGCATAATGTAAAAATATAATCAAGGAAAGTACGAGTAACTCAATGTTTCATTTAACCCTCCTATTGTCTTCGTTCGCCACTCCCATACAGTGGCGGTTCTAGACCAATTTGACTGGGGGGGCCACTGGGGGGCCAGTTATTTTCTGAGGGGGGCACAATAAATGCAGGACGAAAAAGAGAACTAGACAGTATGAAGTAATTGTGCATAAGAAAACAATGCAATACAGTTATTGGTATTTGTTTCAGTACACTTATTTATTTCAGATATATCTTATAGTTATTACTGTTAGCTTCAGCTTAAGTTATAGTACAATTTTTGCACTAACACCATATCATATTCATATAAAAATAAAGGCAATGAACATCTACAATTACACGGATACAATAGTTTAACTCACCTTCAATTATCGTGGTAGTCTCTCAAAACGTAGGTTTCAATCAGTCTTTCTTGGATGCAACAGCCTCTGATGATCTGAGATGAAAAGTGTTTGTTTTTCGCGTGCTTCAGCCGGACAGTGAAAGTGAGTGCACCGCTCTAATGGGTCCTGAGTGCACCGCTCTAATGGGTCCTGAGTGCACCGCTCTAATGGGTCCGACTAGAATGACGAATAACGTTAGTTCCGCCTATTCCGTCATTCAATAAATCGTGTAATAAATCATACATTTTTCATTTTTAGGGGGGCCACAGGGGGGTCAGAGGTCAGTGTTAGGGGGTAACTGCCCCCCCCCCCCCCCCCCTAGAACCGCCCCTGCTCCCATACAATGTTATATCTACATATCAGACTGTGGGATTGTCCACCCCTGACTGGTATGAGGATATATCCATTAGCACAAAAACAGAGGTCAGAATTAAGCTAACTAATACAGAACTGAAATACTGAAATACAGAACCCTGCATATTATGGGAATAATATAGTAGACTGGCATTTATATTGAGTTACACTAAACTGTACTGGTGTATCTAATAAAGTAGCTAGTGGGTGTGGTAAAGGTAGGTCTAAATGAATACCCGGGCTGTTTTCACGTTTTTTTGTTGTTTAATTAATTTGTAAAATATATGTTTTTTTATCCTTGTGTCTCTGTAAACTGTAAACATATATGTACTTTTATTGACCAGCAGAGGGCAGCCTCAAGTCATTCTGCTAAACTAGACAAGGAGGAGAGTCAGTCTGAAATCATTGTTCATTTTCATCTCCAAGGATTTCAAAGCTGAAGTAAATCAGTCAAATACAACAAAAATAACATATATTTGTATCTGTTTGCCACATAAGTAAACAATGACTATCAATGGGAAATGGCTTCAGTTAAAAACAGCATGCAGTGTGCTGTATGGAATTAAATTAGTATGTTCTCTGATTTGGTTGTTAAAAAAACATCATGATCATCAGAATTTGACATGTGGTCAATCATACACACCCATCCACACTGGGAGGGGAAAACAGACTGATCAGAAATACTATCAAACAGTATCCATTGTTTATTATGTGTATAGTTGAAGAGCACTTTACACTGTGACCACCATAACAGAGTTATGTATTATAATGATTTGTAATAGCGTTAATGTCTCCACAATGAATCCCGAGTAGACCGACCACCTAGAAACTGGGTCAAGCCAGCAGATGTAACGGAACACGTCTGAGCAGCATTTTCAAAATAAAAGTTGGGTTACATGTTTGAGTCATAAAGGTGCAGTGATAATAATAATACTTAATTATCCAGTGGTGGATAGCAATAAAGTGCATGCATTTAAGTACTGTACATAAGTACATTTTTGAAGTACTTGGGCATTACATTAGTATGGTTATACATGCAATACAAAAAAAGGGGAACCAAAAATAAGGAACAAAGACACAAAATAAACCTGATACTGTGCCAACAGTGCCATGATCTGCTTCTTGAAAAATATAGGAGAAAAAAAAGGTGTTATCATGGTCTTCTTTCGAAGGGGGGGCCAGTGCCACAGGGGGGATGTGGACACCACTTACAAATACATAGCCTAATTTTTTACCGTTTCAGGTGCGACATTGTTTGTTGTTTTATTTTGAAGCCAGCACCCTCGCACTTCCTGTCCCACCCTGTCTGACTCCGTGTGTCTTGGCGCGGCTGTCCGCTGCTCTCTGATGTTGAAGCTTCTCAGAAGGAAAGACCTGTCTGTCCTGAGCGAGAGTGAAAGGTACTGAGGGGAGAGCACAGCACACTTTCTGGACCCGGAGTTTGTTTGTACTTTTAGAGAAGTTACTCCCCCCGTACCTTTCCGCCGGGTTTTAAGGGAAAACCAACAAAATCGTGCGGTAAGGAGCTGGAACCCATCAGATACTTGTAAGCGTGGATGCGAGGCTCTGTTTGAATCAACATCATGGACGGCTGATTCGCACACTTCATTGACCTTACAGGTAAGTTCGAGGCAGTACATGTATTAAGAGGATAAGGTCAAACAGAAATAAGCGTGAATAAAAGCTGTTACTTGTTGGGGTAAAATACTTTTCTTCAGTTAAACAAGACCCTTAAATTGCCTACCCTACTTAGGCTTTCTACCACCAGCGAAAATTGTAGTCGACAAACTTTTCATTCATTAAAACGTCGAATATTAGACAAACGTAGTTCTGTAAACGTGAGTTTTCCACAAAGAATCATGCAAAAGTAACATTTTAAATCTTGCTTTTACTTTAGTGCTCATTTATTTTTTTGGAATAGGTCATTTAACATAAAACACATTGAAAATGACTAATAAACCAATGAAATATCGACTAAAACAGATTATTCGTTTTAATAGACTATGAAGACGCCCCCTTGTGTGATGCATGTTGTTACATTCAATATCAAATTGTATTTCATATCACAAAGTGTTAATTCATTATTTGAAGGTCTGAAATGGCAGATCTTTTTTTAATTATAATTGTGTAGGTGGGTGCAGGACATTTGAATACACTTGCTTTGATTTTACAGCCAAACATCAGACACACTCAGACTAGACTGCTCCCGACAATGGGCATACAGTAGCTCCTGACTACAGAGAGCACTGGTCTCACACACACCATGCACACACGCTTTTGTCAGCTGATGTCGGAATGTGTGTGTGAGCCACATGTCAAATGCCTTGTTCACCTGCTAGCATTCTGCTGGACACACACAGCTGCCTGTTTATCACTTGATGTTGGAAACAAGTGATCTGCTTTGACATTGTTTATTGAACTTGGCATTAGAGTTCAATCAGTGGCTTTTAGATATGTGATCGTTCTCAGGGATCTCTGTCATTGATGGCTGGTGATGATGGACAAGGATGAATTTGTCCCTCTTTTGTCTTGCTTTAATGATACACTCCGAGCCTTTCCAGTTACACCTCACCCCTAGACTTTGCAGAGAAACGTTGAAATGCTTTATAATATAGGTAGTGTACAGCATAGAAGATAAGCAATGTACTGGTGTGGACAGGGGCAACAGCAAAACACACCTAAAAGGAAGGCCCGCACTTAAAAAAAAACAATCCCAGTTTAAGTGTACTAAGTGTTACAATGCTACCCGCTTTACCTTGCATTAAAAGAGCTCCATCCTAAGGGGAACTCAAGCTGGATCTATCTATGCTCTCTTTAAAGCCTCCACACTCAATTGACAAAAACATTAATTTTACCTCGCAGATCACTGTTTTGTCAAACAATTCTGATGGCCTCAGTAACTCGTCTAAAACTCGTCTGAATTTAAGGTTTCTCAAATATGCTGCTCCTTCCACAGCAGTACAATGCTCTACTGTAGGGAATACACTCACTACGGATAACTAACTCATACAACCCCATTTCAAACAATCCAAACTATCCTTTCTTAAATGTTTTGGGAGCATATTTCATATACAGCCCATGTTAAGATTCTTGTGGTTCGATAGTGAAGCCTTTAACCTCATTTTCCTC